TCTGTTTTTCACCTTTTGTGGTCCTACTAGCTCTTTGCTTGTTTTAAGAAATATTTTTAGCAGAAATATCTTCAGTAAATAATCTCTATATTAGAGTTAATAAAATAAATTTGACAACTTGCAGGTATTGTCTTAAACAAGTAAAAGTAGTTTCTACTTAGATTCATTTTTACTTAAATAACACTAGAAGCACTAATTTAAAGTTAAACAAATATTAGACAAATAAGTTGAAAACAAAAGTAAACATTATTTTGAATTAAACCTTATTTTGGTACTTATGTTGTAATAGCAAAATTTTTAATGAAAATGTTCTATTGAAAGTTTCATACTTACATTTACAATTAACTCACTTAATAATATTTTCAGTCAAAATTGACTATTTTATTCAAGTGAGTTGTTTATTAAACTAACAAAAAATAGTAAATGTACAATACTTTGTATTTATGTTCTTCAGACATGGATTTAGTTACAATAAAAAATTGAAACTGAAATATGAAACGCAAGGGAAATAATCTTTTACATTCACCTTGAAATTTGAAACACGTTTACAGTGACACCATAACTTAATTCGTTTCGAGTTAAGTCATTTTTGATTTTTCTTAAATCTTATATGAAAAATAAAACTCCTCTCAGATCATTTTAATCACGACTTGCGACATCACCATCAGCAGTCGAGACTCACCCACATTCAAAAAGGTTAACGTGCTGGTAACTATCCAAACCACACCAATCCTGATCGACCAAAATATCCTACGTCACAACACACTCGATTTCTATCTAATCAACAACCAAAATGCGACTATAGAATTCAGACGCACACTTTCCTCGGGATATACAACACACACAGTCGCAATCATATCACCGTCATCGTCAACCAACGATCCAGCATATGGCGCCCAAGCTGACATCATCCAAAACCAGCCTACTATGGAACTACAGCCCAACATCCAGACACTGGATCAAAAGCTAACCTGGCTAAAACATTACACGGGACTATCGCTACCAAACCACCCGAACCGAGACGAACTAGAGGCCACTGCAAACTTACTCATTCGCTACGCTGACATTATCGGCACAGAAAGCAGCAGCAAAGGCACATTCATCCGACCCATCCACATACCAACCAACGGCCAGTCTCGCAGCCAGAAACAACACCCGATCGCCCAGGCTTTGGAAGCAGACGTAGATACCGAAATTAAGCGTATGGCTGATGAAGGTATCATTGAAAACTGCAGTGACCCCAAAGGCTTCAATAGCCCTGTATTTTCCGTATGCAAGAAAAACAGATCAATTCGTGTCGTTGCTAACTTTAAAAGAACTCTCAACAAGGTCTTAGCCAATCTTGACCCTTACCCAATGCCAAGGATCGACCACTTGTTCAACAAAATCGGCAAAGGCAATAGATATTTTACTACCCTTGATCTACGCAGCGACTACTGGCAAATTGAGATCGACAAGCGAGACCGATACAAAACAGCATTTACATGGAAGGACCAATGCTATCAATACACGCGCCTGGCCTTCGGCCTTACATCTGCCGGACAAATCTTCTCCCACTGCATAGCAGAAGCCCTAGCCACGGTCACATTCCATGACAACATTTCTTCCTATATCGATGACAACCCGGTCTACGCTAGGACATTTAGGGAGTACATACTCTCCCTCGAAAAAGTTTTTACTGCCCTCCGAAAATTCGGACTCAAGCTGAATCCTGATAAATGTTCCTTCCTCGCATCAGAGGCAAAATTCCTCGGACGCATAGTAAACAGAGAAGGATTCAAGGCTGATCCAGAATACGTTCGTGTCATCAGGGAAATGAAACCTCCAACATCAAAAAAGGAATTACAAAGCCTTATCGGCTGTTTAGTGTGGATCAGACAATTCCTAGAGACACGTCTTCACGAACAAATCAGGTCAGATATGTTTTCAAAACTTATGGGTGCCATACACGAACTCAACAAGGTTAATAAACCGTTTGTCTGGACGCAAAATGCCGACAAAGTCTTCAAAAAAGTCAACGACCATCTCTCTTCGCCACCCATCATCTCGTTTCCAGATTTCTCCAAACTTTTCACACTCATCACTGACGTCGCATGTGGAGCAATCTTAATGCAAGAAGCCGACAACAGGAAGAAAGATATCATAGCGGTCGCTTCCCATACATTCAACTCCACGGAACAGAAGTGGTCCACGACGGAACGAGAAGCATATGCAATAAAGTGGGCAATATTGAAATTTGATTATTTCCTTCCACAACCGCCCCTTCGTCATCTTTACCGACCACAGATTGCTGATATATCTGGACCAACGAGAGTTCAATAATGCCAAAATACGACGATGGCCAGAAGAAATTTCATGTTATAAATTCGTCTTGGAATATGTTGAAGGCAAATCAAATGTATGGGCTGACATGCTCAGCAGAGGTTGCGGACATAAGAAAACGAAAGCCCCGAATGACCCTACACCGGCAGGCAGGACATTCGAGGTAAGCGGTTCAGACCTCCGCGTATACATACCATCTTGGTGCCTCGGCGAGTTTAACGGTTTACAGCTCATTCCCAAAACTCACACACCACAAAACGCCCACACCCACAAGCGCGTCACCAACGCATTTTTCACCTATCACTCCACCACCACCGTCCCCACTGAGAGAATCTGCAACCACCTTGGCATTGCAGATGAACAACTGAAGGACAATGCCCTGGCAAAGATCATCAGTGACCTCCAGTCACTCACCCCAAGCGAACCTCATATCGATCCTGACGACCACCGAGCTACGCTTTTCAAAAAACATTTCCACCAATTTTTTCTAGAACCAGGCACCTCCGTTTTGATAATAAGAGACAGTAAACACAATTTGAGATTGGTTGTACCCTACAAACTACGACCCAGATACCTCTACCAGGCACACGAGGGCAACAACCACTCAGGTGTCACCCGTATGCAAGAACTCCTTTCCAGCTACTGGTGGGAATTCAAAAACCGCGACATCAAGGCCTATGTCGATTCTTGCGACACGTGTGCTAAATGCAAGGGCAACTACGGTAGACATACCCACTGGCCACTGCAAACGAGGAAAGAGACCATTCGATCTCGTCTTTATAGACTTTGTCACAATGCCCAACTCAAAGGGAAAACGCTACATCCTAACCATCTTGGATAGCTTCAGCCGACATTTTACAGCCATACCATGCGCAAGAGACCGTGCTATCGACGCCAAAGCTCAGGAAATATCAAGAGACAACATTGCACGATGAAGGCGGCACTTTATATGTTATGCAAAGACAGGAACTGTGAATGGACAGACGTTCTAGAATCTGTCGTTTCGTCCATGTATGCCACGACCAACAGCGCCACCGGTGTCTCCCCGCACTATGCCATTACCGGCCGTCACCCCAACATTGGCCTACCTACACTACACAGAAAAGAAATCACAAGCGACGATCCTGGAGCATATGGAATGCAAATTAATGCCCTGCTAAAGCAGGGTTCACCACCACGTCACCCTGGCCAACGATGAAGCTGACCACAAACTTGAGACTAACTTAAATCGCCTCACATACAAGGAGCCAATACAAGTAGGCGACAAGGTTTTACTTCATCAGCCACACTCAACTGTTGCCCAATCTTCTCATCTGCCCTGGATAGGAAATTACACAATTATAAAAACGAACAATAATATGTGTCAGGTGCAAAACGATGATGGTGATACAATCCGGATTCACTGTGCATATATCCGACGACTGGCTCCATGCCCAACACATCTTTCTAATACAATCCCTCTGCCTCCACCATGTAACAGTTACCAGGATCATTCTCCTCCACATCCCTCAGGGACACATAATTCAGCAAATAATTCCATATCAAAACAAATGCCAATAAGAAGAACACGAGGACAACTTCCCACACGCTTCAGAGACTTTATCATGAATTAATCACCCAAATATACACGAATAACGCTCACTGTAAATCAGACCGAGATCTGGGGAGCCTTGTTATAAAATAAAATAAGACATATCTCAGATTTACAGGCAAATACTCAAGAGCAAACCAGATGTGAACTGGACCCCCGTCACAAAATGACCATTATCTTTCTTTACAAATGTTTCTGACACACGTGTTCCGGTCGAAAAATAAAATAATATTTAAAGTGCTCTATTTTTCGTCCAATAAAAATGCTTCCCTCCTAATTATACTCGCTTCGTTTCTCGAGCCTGTTAAGCCATAAAAAAACGCTATAAAAGGGGTCACACGGAAGTTCAACAGGTGGCCACAAAGGAGACCGGTCACGTTCAGCAGCTGTCAGCAGGAGAGCACCAACCACCGTCAACATGTGTGAACTACTATGAGAGATCGACCTAGATCCGAAAGCCGGCTTATGAACTTTCCCACACCAAGGTAGCTATCCTAAACCCTCACGTTCCTGTTGAAATAAACCACGTAAATCTATTTCTACTGTTGTCGTATTTCTTTCTTGCAACCATACGCTTGTCTATAACACTGTACATGTAAAAAATATCCAGTTTTGAATGTAAAATACTAAACCCAAGTTATGTTTAAAATAATCCAGTGTATATATTTGTTAACAGTAACAATAACATTAATTGTGTGATTTGAGAGAGAGATTCTTAGATAATTTGAATTTCCTAGGACAAAATAAAAACATTAAAAAAAACAAAAAAACAAACAAAAAACACCCATTTTTTTCCAGGGTTTCCAGTCCTGGAAAATCATGGGAACCTTGTTAACCTCTACATATCTAGGGTCAACCAATATCTATCCTACATATCCTCATAATATGTACTTCTTTTTCCTTTCTCCTCTTATGCTTTCATAACTATTTCATTCAGTATACTATCTTGAAAGGCTCTTGGGCCTTGTATTAGGTGAACTATAGTAAAGAAAAGGAATAAAAAGGATATTTTTTACATTAATATACATAAGGATGAGGGAAACTTTTGTGTTCAGTATAACAGAAAGAATGAAAATGTCTGACTTACTGAAGGAGTCCACATATTTGTAAAATAGAGTGCAACAATTGTTTTGAATGGATCCTGACCACGTCCTACAGTTGCTGACAGGCCTAGGATTTGTGGGACCTTTGTAGCTGATCTTTTTTTCATGATATTTTTTCATTATTTCATTGTAGGATGTTTCTCTACAGTGTTATGGCATTCATCAAATACTAGTAAGTCATAATCAGACAACTTCACATGACGGAAAGTTCAAAGCATTATCCAAAATTTGAGCAGTCAAAATTACAACAGATTTTTTCTTTATATGCTCACTGGACAAACAATCATTCTCCTCTAAAGAATGTACATCATCATCCAAGATCTTTTTGAGCTAAAAAAAAAAAAAAAAAAAAAAAAAAAAAAAAAGAAATATCAAAGTGAGTCAAAAATCATTGTTTCACAAAAAAAATAAATAATTTTTTAAAGCTTTAATGCAGTGTGTAAACAGAAATGTCTCCCACAGACATCATTGCCACTAATGTCATACCATTATGTGGGAGGTATTTCTGGGAGGTATAAGTGGAAGATATTTCTGTTGCACCCTGTATAAACAACATTTTCTGCAAAACAACTATTGGTTAATTTGCATTATAATTCCCAAAAAACCAATTGTAATGAAAATTATCCATTATGGTGTGAAATTATCTGATTATTTCGAAAATAGCAATAAAAGTTTGTGCTCAAATACTATTTAGGACTTATCGACAATGTAATTTTGACCTCATTTAAAGACACAGCTACAGAATGGCCGCCATTACTGACTTTCTTTACATACATTTGCCTATAGTAGTAATATGTGAAAGCTTCACTTGTCTTGATTACCGTGAAGTTTAAAATGAATGCACAAAATTTCTAAAAGTATCCCAACAGAAAAAAAGCGTCACTATTCCAAATGTTTCAGTAAAATTGAAAAAAAAAAAAAAAAAAAAAAAATTGTTTTTTTTTGAAAGATGTTTTGTTTTTTTTTTTTTTTTAAAAAAAAAAGTTGTCATGAAAGTTTCCTTACAATCTGGCAATTATTTGATTTTTAAAAGAATTTCAAAAACAATGTTTTTCACCAGTGAAAAAAAAATGGCGCATGTTCTGTTGTCTGAATAATATTTCTTCTATTTTTTTTCTAAATAATTTAAATGTCTTAACTTAATCAAAATTTAACCCAAAAAGAATTCTTAAGACACTATCATTATTTCTTCGATTTTTTTTTTTTTTAAAAAAAAATTCATGTATGACATATTTATTAAGAAAAGTTTTCAATTGTTTTTCTCAATAATTTAAACCAATTTAAAAAAGAATTCATTATTTATTAAAGCTTCACTTCCACAAAAGTGAAAAAAAAAAAGTTTTGTTAACAAATTTAATCAAAATTTAATTGGAAAAAGGTATTTATACCAATAAAAATAAAAACAATTCATTTAAAGCTTCATTTTAAAAAAAAAAAACCTTTCACACATTAGCAAAGCATGTACATTTTAAATTAAATTTTGTGAAAATTGCACAGTAATCAAGATGATTAAGATGATAAGATCAGTAAAAATATTTTTGCACATTACTACTTGAGGCAAAAACATTGTAAATAATACCAGTAATGACTGTATATGTGTCACGGATAAGGTCAAACTAAGATTGTTGATAACTCCTGAATGGTATTCAAGTGCAAACTTTTGTTATTTTCGAAAATGATCAGGCAATTCCACACCATAATGGAAAATTTTCATGACAATTGGCTTTTGGGGATTATCATATATATTAACCAGACTTTTTTTTATTATTATGCTAAGTTCACTTAAATTTTGGCAAAACGTGCCAATAAAATCATTCTTCTTAGTTTAATAAATTTCATTTTTATTTCATACTAATTAGTTTTATACAGCTATTTCTAACAATAGCTAACAAAAACAAAGATGCCAATATGTAAGAGTTGAACATATTAATAAATTCCATTTGTATTTACCAAAAATAAAGCTTAAACTGTCTTGTATAACAATTTTGAATGGTAACTACAAAAAAAAAAAAAATTATAAGAAATGGCATTATGAAAGATTTCATTCTATTTACAAAAATAAGGCCTAGATTGTCTTGTATAACAATTTCCAATGGTAATTAGCAAAAAAGAGATGGCATCATGTAATGGTTCATATATCCAACATAGTAGTTAATGTTTGGATAAATTTAATTTATCAAAATAGATCATAGTCTTATGTAGCAGTTTCTGATAGAAACACTAAAAAAAAACTTTTTTTTTCAAAATAAAGGAATCTATTTCATGCAGCAATTGGCAATTTTCAATATTGATATGAATTTCTTTTTAAGTTTTGTAATACCCAAAACAAAGGTTATCAATACTGACATGAGAGTGGATACAATTTCCTGTTTTTTAAAAAACTGGAAATTATTCTATTTTTAAGATGAAGTATGTCAAAACTAAAGTCCCCAATAAAAAAAAGGAAAACTTGCTGTAATGTACCATTTTTCTTTTTTCGGTGATATGGTAAAAAAACTAACCTTCAAACAGATCATTATAATATTAATTTATTGTCTCTAAAATATAAACTGCACTTCAATCCAGTGAAATTTTATGACTGAATAATTATTAAGAAAATTAAAACAATAAAATTGAATACTAACATCAATTGCCAGATGTTTAACCAGGAAACGGATATGAACCAAATAAAGAACCCGATAAATCTGATTATTTTTCTTTGCTTCCTTCAGATGGTGATCGATGACAGATCCTGCTGTTATTGTTTTACCGCTTCCTGTCGGGGAGCAAATGATACAGTTCATCCCATTTTTAGCTTTTGCTGCTAATTCTTTTTGGTAGTTATATAACTTAATTTCAGAATGAGAAGAATCCTCAGAATTTTGAGATCCATGTGAATTGCATTCATCACTGATACTGGAATTTGTTGCAGTATCATTTGTGGCACCCGAATCCAACAAGTCATCAGATTTTGTATTAATTTTGAATGTATCTTCTGATGTGACACTGACACTGGGGTCCTCTGTGTGTTGATCTAAATTAGAAGAAAAAAAAATATATATAAAAAATATTATTTAAATTGAAATACTTTTAGTAGGGACAAGAGAAAAATCTTTCTTAAAACTCAACCCAGACCTCAAATGGAACTCCTACATATGATCCATTGCTAAAGAGGCAAGAAAAAATAGTCAGTTCCCTATGCTGCTCCTTGTGCTATCCTCTACTTTTACAAGAGCCAGATCCGGCTTAAAGTGGAATACTGCTATCATATTTGGGCAAGGGTTGCACAGTCCTCACTTTCTAGTTTTGATAGAGCCCAAAAGTCCTTGTGGGTAACAAATTATTTTTCCACTCTGCAATACCCTCTCTCAGATGAAATGTAGCAAGTCTGCTCTATCACTTACTTTCATGGAAAATGCTTGGACAAACTACATTCCTTAGTTCCACCAGTTCTAACTTTCATGGCTGGAACCCACCATGCTATACACATTGTAGTAAGCCACCTTCATTCCCTTCCCATTCCATTAATGAGATGTAAGTTCCACTTAAACTGGTTCTTCCAGCAAACCACTGCTCTGTGGAACTGATGAACAAGAGGATGTTTTCCGGATCACTACGATTTTAATCTGTTCAAGTCTAGGGATAATCATTCTTCCCACCTATCTGCATAAAATGTGCTTCTTACTCTGTAACCCTCTACCTGAAGTGGTTCCATGGTCTTGTACAGGGTGAATCTCACTGTAATAAAAAATTAAAGGGGGAGGGGCATGAAAGTTGGCATATATTTGTCCTTTCCTTTAGGATAGAAGGTAATTTTTTTTTTTTTTTTTTTAAATGTGAGAGATTGTATATTTAATCACCACAGAGAACATTTTCTGCTTTTCATCAGCATTGCTAATGCTGAACTCCAGGAGAGCAACACTAGTTTTATATATTTTTAGATTCTTGACAAAATTCAAACAAGGCTCTGTAATGTAATCAATCCTGACCTAGCATCTTGACTTCAGTCACTTTCACATCATCAAACTGTTCTGATGAGTTTATTTTTCCTTGATACCTTGACTGCATGAATTTAAGTGTGGTACTTGATTGGTGACTACGTCTCACTGATTTATTGTTGAACGAGTTAGATGCAATGATCTCTTCTAACAGTTTATTTTCCTGCACTTCTCACCTGTGGAACTTCCTTTTGATTTCTTGCTTCCCTGCCACCGTCAAAAACTTAAATGCAACATCAATCGCCAACTTCTGTCTCCCTGAATCCTGTTCATTTGTCTTTTCCTCACTAAAGTGCTTATTCACTTTCATACCCTGCAACTCCCTACTTCATTATCACCTTGCTTGGGGGGGAAATATTTAAAAAAGAGAGAAATTATACACATTACAACTTGGAAAATATACTAATTGTAAAAGACAACTTAAGATGATTGTTTATACCAAGTCTTAACCTTACCCTATTTGAAAACAGAAAGAATGTGTTGGTCGTCTTGTAAAGACACTTCCAACAATAAATTACTACTACTCTTGTATAGCACAGTTGAGAATTACTAATATATCTATACAAAGAACTTAGAACATAAACATGGGAAAAGAGTAGTGATGAACCCCTTTTTTTTCAAAATAGTACAAATCATTGTTTGATGAATTGGTGTCAAACTTGTTTTGAACTGATGTCATACATTTACCACGAAGATCATGTTAACTGCTCAGCTTGATGACCAGTTTATCTGGTTGGTTGGTTGGGTTTTATGGCAAAAAATATCTAGCTGAGATGAAAGTGTAGTATATGCTATCCTCATCTCTAATGGCAATCGTAATATTAGATATTTTTCTTATGAGGGATCATTTGGTATTTATTGATTGAACAGTCAGTGCTACTCAATTTACAATTTTCATCACTCCCTGGCCATCGGACGCGGATCAGAGTGTAATATCTGCTCTCCTCATCTCTAATTGCAATATTAGCTCATAAGGACACAGTTGACATTCATTGGCCGAGCAGCCAGTGTTACACTTTCTTCTTCCTGGCCAACAAGCTGGGATCAAAGTGTAGTATCTGTTCTCATAAGTGGTAATAGTAGCCATTTCCTTATAAGGAAACATTCACTGATCGAATACTTACAAAAACTTTCTCTCCAAACAATTCTTCAGCAAAGTATGTTTCTCCAGTTCATTAACTGTTATTGCTCTTTCCAGTGTTTACTTGGGCTCCTTACCTAACTGTTTGAAGTAGTGTGGAATCAGATTCTTGATTACATCATTATGTTTTGTTCAAGTTACTTATGATATCTATTTTAGTGTTGCTGCTGTTGAAAGTCCTCACGTGATGTGGTTTCTTTATGGTTCTTCAGTACCAGTTCATGATATTTGAAGAAGGAAGCTCATCACTCAGATGAGCATATTTCACTTTCTTGAAGGTATTCTAACCTTTGATCTGAGAACATGATTGTATACAACAAACAGGTCAGAAAGAGTATGGCACTACGCAAGATATCTACATGTAAGTCTCAACACAATAGGGCTATTTAGGGACATGATTCCAGATTTAAGACATCATGTTTTGATTCTGTAGTAATTGGCATCATTGGACAAAAATAAATCTAGCCCTGCCTATTCTACATTCAATTTCCTTATTTCCTATCCTAAAGGAATGTCACTGAATAGAATAATCAAAGGAAGGTTGGTAATGTACGATGATACTTAGTATATGAACAACCCATATAAGATTCGGCAGTTGTGCATAGAAGTAGTAGTCAACTGCTCGAAGTGAGTCAAGTGAATTCCACCATGAATCTGCAACAGCGGACTAACATACAGAATTCACTACTGCATTTATGTGAATGGGGACATAACCATTATTGCCCGTAGGTATGTTACAACACTAAATTTGTTATAATTGATGCATATGCTAAGGTATATGAAGTAATTACTATTTATGAATTGCATGAGAAAATAAATAAAAATCTACCTGTCTCCATTGAGGATTCACATGCGTGATTGTCTTCTTCAGGTGTTTTACTTTCTTGCTCATCCAAATTCAAAGGAGAAGAGACAGTGGATTTGTTATCATTGTCACCTTGAGAAAAAAAAAAATAGTACTTTGTTTATGTAGTGATACTAAAAAATTAGTATGCATAATTATCATAGGTAGAAGTGAACATTCTTATAAGTGGTCACTGAGAATAACCACCAGCAGTACAAGCTTAGCAACTGACTAGTGCTAACCTGAACTTCATAACAATGGTGTCGCCGATAGGATATCAATTGTCTATGGAAGATCCAGAATTCGTGGATACTTGGATTCGTTGCTTCTCTGCCACTGCAAGAACAAAAAAGTTGAAAGACAAGGAAAAGGGAGGGGAAAATGAAATCACGGATTTATTTTTGGCCACAGCTGAATGCGGGGCAGTAATGAAAGTCTCCACCATGGCATATCCCTTAAATTTGGAAGACCCGACTTTCGAAAAAGTCAGATTATAAAAAAAATGAGACCTTAGAAAAGGCTGGTAGTGGCAGAAAGAACAAAATTCATGTAAACGAAACAAGAAATTGACGAACTAATTATAAAACATTTACACCGTCTACGAAATGCAAGTAGATATTGTGAATTTGAGAAACTTGGACAAGACGAACAGACCATTGAAGAGGACTTGATTCAACTAAGACTAATTGAAGGTATGTCCAATGCGTCACACCGATATAAAATATTGGAACAGTTACAAATAGGCAAGATGTCTTTAAATGCTTGTATTGAATTTATGCAGCAACAAGAGCTAATACAGACATACCACCATTATAAAAGTCAACCCAGCGAACAAAGATTCGCTGATACGTACGCATTAAACAAGATAAAAAAAGTGTTCGTATTGCGGATGTAAACATGAAATGAAAAAGGAAAAGTGTCCAGCATTTGGGAAAACTTGTAATAATTGCTTAAAAAGAACCACTTTCAAGCAGTGTTTAAATTAAAAAAGAAAAAAGTTGAAAGAGTTGAAGAAAATGACACCGACAGGGAAGACTATTGCACAGAAGAAAAATGACATTATAGTAAAGGTTAAAATTAATAACTGCAATTTAGATATGCAAATGGATACTGGGAGTGAAATAACACTAATACCAAAAAAATTTTGGGAACACATTGGTAAGCCACCTTTACAAAAAAGCAATTTACAACTCCGCCAGTTTGATGGGTTGGTTATAAAAATATTAGGATATTTTGAAGGTTCATTGGAGTTAAAAGAAAACTTTCAAGTAATTCCTCTAATTGTTACAAGTTGCAAGAAAAACCACGGCCTTATTGGAAATGACGTGCTTAATATGAATTCTACTAAGTTAATTAATGAAATAAAAATGGAAAAAAGTGGAAAGTTAAAAAACTATGAAGCAAGTTTAAAAGTAAAAGAAAATGTTTCCCCCTTTTATTATGAGGCATGAAAATTACCAGTACATTTATTGCCGTTAGTAGTGACAAAACTACGTAAACTAGTAGAACAAGATCTTCTAGAACATGTTCCGCCTAGAGGTAGCAAGTGGGCATCACCGATTGTGGTTTTGAGGAAAACAGATGGTGATTTACGTATTTGTGGAGATTATAAAATAGGAGTAAATCACAAGATATGCTCGGATTCATATCCCATACCCAATGTGGAACTTGTATGACATGCACTGGCAGGGATGTCTGTTTTTTTCAAAAATAGATTTAAAAACAGCATACCACCAAATACCAATAGACGAAAACTTCAAAGAAGTAACCACGATAAATATGCCAATAGGGTTACTAAGATGGAAAAGAATGCCATATGGTATAAAAACTGCAAGTGCCATATTTCAAAGGCACATTGAACAGGTTTTAGGAAATGTACAAAATATGGTTTGTTACCAAGACGACATATGCATAGGAGCTACTAATGAAAAGGAATTAAAAGAAAAAACTGATTTAGTCTTGAATAGATTAAGAAATACTGGAATGACTATAAATGAAAAAAAATGCGTAAGCAATTCTAACAAAATATCTTTTCTAGGTTATTCCATTTCAAAAGAAGGGATATCACCAGACCAAGCATTGATAGAAAAAATACTAAAAGTAGCTACACCTTCAAATAAAAAAAAATTGGAGTCTCTTTTGGGATTGGTAAATTTTTACAGGCGATATTTACCAAAATACATGGACTTGACGGAACCGTTTGCAAATTTAAGAAAAAAAGAATGTAGAATTTATCTGGTCAGGCGAACAGCAGAAAGCTTTTGAAACATTAAAAGAAATATTGTCAAAGAAACCTGTAGCGAAAATTTTTGATCCAAAAAAGGACATAACACTCACTACAGATGCAAGTGAACATTCAATATTGAGAATATTATCACAAGAAGAACATCTGATAATGTATTTGTCGAGAAGGTTAACGAACATTGAATTTAATTACTTGAACATAGAGAAAGAAGCATTGGCTATTGTGTGGACAACTACCAGAGCCCGACAATTTTTAATTGGAAAAAAATTTCTATTAAGAATTGATCATAGACCATTAGAGTTTATATTTAACCCAAGGAAAGAATTAACCAAAGTCACGACATCAAGGATTCTACGATGGGCGATAAGATTGATGGCATTTGACTTTGATATAGAGTATGTCAAAGGAAATTCAATTCCACATGTGGACACATTATCAAGATTGAGGTTTTACAAGGAGTCAAAAGACAAAACGGAGGAAGAATTTGAAGATTCATTCCTACACTTGGTAGAGACTGATGTTTTGTTTTTAGACAGAATGGCTGTGGAAACGAGACATGATCCAGTGCTAAGTAGGATAGTATTGAGAATAAGAAAAAATTTGTGGGGAAATTGTTCTAGGGTGGAAAGACCTTATAAAGAAATGAGGCACAAATTAACAATAGAACATGGAGTGATTTTCAATGGGGACCTGGTAGTTCCCCCAGAAACACAAAGAAAGCCGATAATAGAAAGTGTACATAATGATATACACTGTGGAGTAGCAGCCACACAAAAAAGGATAAAACTAGAAGCTTGGTGGCCAGGTTATTCAAGAGATGTTGAGGAAAATGTAAAGAAATGTAAAAAATGTAAAGAGTTAAGAAACTTTACACAAGCCAAGTTACATTCATGGCCCAAAGAAGTGGAGCCATGGAGTCGTGTGCATATGGATCATGCATACGTAAATGGAGTGGGACTCTTATTAATATTAGTAGACTCCTTTACAGGTTGGCCTGAAATAATAAGGGTTACAAACAAGAAAAGTTGCACTATAAAGCAAATTCTAAGAGTCATATTTTCTAGAAATGGCGTACGAAAAACCTTGGTATCGGATAATGCACCAGAATTTTGTGAGGAAGAACTAAACATATGGTTAGAGAAAATAGAGTGTAAACCATATAAAACTCCTCAATATCACCCTCAATCAAATGGACTAGAAGAAAGGATGGTTCAGACTGTGAAAAAGGGCTAAAAGCATGCTCTAAGCAAAAAGAAAAACTAGAAGTTTTTCTACTGAGGATGCTTTTAAGTTATCAGACGATACCACATGCGGGAAGACTCGAAAGCCCATCAGCTTTAATGGGGAGACAGATTAGAGCTCCGCTAACTATGTCATACTCTACAAGTGAAAAGATGTGGTATAAAAAGAGCAAGGATGCAAATCCGGAAGGAGCCGAGTTTATAATGCAAAAAGGCCATAATACAGACATAATAAATAGAGAGAATGGCAATAGTGTGTTGGCCCATGCTGACCAAATAAGAAACCGGGGTGAAGAGGAAGAACAAAATGATGAAGAGATGTCAATTCCATCTGATAATGAGTTGGTAGAACAACCATTACAGAAGGAAACGTCAGAGGAAACAATGCAGGAGGAAGAGGGAAAGAAGGAGTCTAAAAGTTCAGATGAAGACCAGATTATGCAAGAAAACACATGTGACTACAGCCTAGACCGGGACAGATCGAGGTCTCCCAAGGAAAGAAATATGGGAGAGAGAGAAATGGAGCAGGGTGAGGAAAATAGCAGAAGAATTACAAGATCTATGAGAGGGATAAAGTCCTTAATGTTTAGGGAGATGTAGTGATATTAGAAAATTAGTATGCATAATTTGCATTGGTAGAAGTGAACATTCTTATAAGTGGTCACTGAGAATAACCACCAGCAGTACAAGCTTAGCAGCTGACTAGTGCTAACTTGAACTTCACAACAGTTTATTTTCTAGTTTATAAACAAATGAATTTATGCATTCTTTCTAGAGAATGAATAACAAATGTATTAAACATAATTGGGTAATAATATCAGGTATAACAGATTATGTCAGTGCTATGTGAGAAAGGCGTAGTCTCAGTATGTATTCCCCACCTCCTAATATGGACATTATTATATTCATAATATTATGTGATGATAATTAGGTAATTGAAGTAAGTCATATTGTACAAGTGCTGACTGTATGACCAAAGTGAAAAAGTGAAAAAATAAAATAAAAAATAACTGCACCAAACAAACTGCTATGGTTGTAGGGGACTTCATTTTAAAATAAATTGCCTATTCAAAAATAAAAAGCATTTCCAATGTCAGAAAATCAGGGCCGAGTCAAAGTCATTGTAAATTATAAAAAATGAATAAAAATGAAAGACATTTTAATACAGTATAAGTTATATTGAAAACTCAACATCTGAATTAGTCCCAAGATAGGTTTAAACAAATAATGCCAAATTAAATCTTAAATTGAACACAGACGGTAACTTTTACGATAATTAATGAAAAGACTTTAAAAAATATTGGTCAACCTACACTAAAAAAATTTGCATGTGGCAACTCAGAGAAAAAAAACTTAAGCTTTCCAGATGAAATTGCATGTCCCATTGTCCCATGTGCCAATAAAACTTTAAAAACTAAAGCATTCATATTAAAAGTTAACATGTTAAACTTATTGGGTGTAAACTGGATGAAACTGTTTGATTTCTGGAATCTACCTGAAATTTGTAAAAAAAAAAAAAAAATAGTATGGTGACTGGAAGTTTTGTAAAGGAGTTAAAGAATTTTCCTCCTGTGTTCTCTGAAGATCTTGGAAAATGTCCAAAGGTG